ACAAAATGGGACAGCTATCAACTGACACCCAGGAGAAATCTGAACTCCTCAATGATTACTTTGCATCAGTATTCCACTAGTCCAACAGTGATACCCTGCTTGACAGGATACAAGATGATCAAGGTGGGGGCAATCACCTACCAACAGTTGGCAAAGTTCTTGTGAGGGAGTATCTAGAGAGGCAGCTACAAGTCAGCAGGCCTGGATGAACTGAACCTGACAGTACAGAAAGAATTGGCCAATGTCATCACACAACCCATGCCAAAATTATTTGAGAACTCTTGACACTTGGGAGAGATTCCAGAAGACTGGAAGAGGCCCAACGTGGTGCCTATCTCCAAGAAGCAAAGGAAGGAGGATCCAGGGAATTATAGGCCATTAGTTTGACCTCAATCCCTGGAAAAATCCTGGAAAAATGATCAACAAATCCATTAGCAATATGCTAATGGAAGGCAACATTCTAATAGATAGTCAACATGGCTTCATTGTGGGCAGGTCATGCTGATCAACCTCATTTCCTTCTATGATCAGGGAACATGCCACCCGGATAAGGGAGATTAGGTTGGAGTCATATACTTGGACTTCAAAAAAGCCTTTAACTTGGTCTCCCACGAGTTGCTCACGGTAAAATTGGAGAAGCGTGGCCTTGATAACCCAATTAGTCCAGTGGCTAGGGAACTGGCTCTGAGGTAGGACCCAGAGAATAATAGATGGAGCTGCGTCAACATGGTGCTTGGTGACCAGAGGCATCCTCCAGGGTTCAGTACTTGGACCAATGGTTTTTCACATGTTCATTAATGATTTGGACTTGGGTGTTAAAAGCAGACTGGCAAAGTTCACAGATGACACCAAATTATGGGGGACTGCAGTCACACTGGAGGATAAGCTGGGGATGAAGGCTGACCTGAACAGGCTCGCAAGGTGGGTGGACCAAACCTGATGATGTTCAGCACTGAAAAGTGTAAGGTACTCCACCTGGGGAGAAACAACTCACAACATGCTTCAGGACGGGCAGTGCTACGCTTACCAGCACCACAACCAAAAGAAACCTGGGGGTCTTGATAGACAATACAATGAACATGAGCCACCAATGCAATGCCGTAGCCAGCAAAGCAAACAAAACACTGGCATGCATCTACCGATGCATCACAAATAAGACTAAGGTTGTCATCCTCCAGCTTTAGTCGGCCTTGGTGTGTCCACACCTGGAGTACTGCATCCAGTTCTGGGCACCACACTTCAGGAAGGATGTGGAGAAGCTTGATAGAGTCCAAAGGGGGGCTAGATGTATGGTTAGAGGTATGGAGAGCAGGCCATATGATGAGAGGCTGAGCGACATGAGTCTGTTCAGCCCAGAGAAGAGAAGATTCAGAGAGGACTTGGTGGCAGCCTATCAATATATAAAGGGCACATATCAGGGAGAATGTGTGTTTACCAGGGCTCCCCAGGGGAAGACTAGGACTAATGGTCATAAATTGCTAGAAGATCGCTTTAGATTAGACATAAAGAAAAACTTCTTTACAACTCTTTACAACTATGAAAACTCGAGTGTCCAGGGTCTGGAATAGACTCCCTCTAGAAGTAGTACAATCATCTACTCTGGATATCTTCAAAAAAAACTCCTGGATGCTCACCTTGCTGGAGTCCTCTGACCCCAACAGTCTTTCCTGCCCAAGTGCAGGTGGACTGGACCTGATGATCTCGAGAGGTCCTTTCCAGCCCCTAACATCTATGGATCGGATA